TGCTGAAGAGACACTGGCAAGGTTGGTGAGTAGGAGCATGTGGATTAGGATCTGGAGTGCAGGACTGGGATTCAGGAGTTCCTGTGCCTGGAGAAGATGCAGTTGTCTGAGGATGCCCAAGGCATTTTGCAGCCTAGGAGGCACTTCTGTGATCTTTCCAAAAGGGAAAATCTCTTGCCATCTGCCGTGCGAGGATCTAACGCAAGGTTGCACAGTAGAGTTGGTAAAACCATGTGTTTCCCCCTTCTGTAGAACAGGGGATAACACGTGCTCGGTTCCCCCTGCGGGGGTTGGCTAATAGTGGATGTGTACTGGCCAGTGAAATGCCGTATGGATCACTACATCTTAGATGCAATCCGTCTTCTGTGCGTCCCCAGCTTGGCAGACATGTTTTAGAAAAGTGGCTATTTCTTTTTCTTTTTTTTTTTTTTTTTTTATAAAAAGGGAGCAGAGGTGCCTGGCTCCTCTTGCTGCACCAACAACACTTGTGTTTTGCTCTGGGGGCACTGACCACACCAGCTGCTTTAAGGAGGATGCAAGTTCCTCAGTTCTGCTCCAGTGTGAAAAGGAGCAAACGGTATTGCCTTCAGCAGCACGTGCTTTGTGTTTCCACATGATTTCAGTTATACAAGCTTGCTTACTTCATGTCCTTTTATTTATTTGAAAATTTCCCTCAGACAGCGGGGAAAGTGCTGCAAACCCACTGTAAAGTTCAGCAGCCGCAGAGCAACTCGGCATGCAGCAGGGAATGAGCGTGCCTCTGGCACTTTGTTGCCAGCATAGACAATGTGTGGCAGCAATAAGGCCTTTAAGAACAGCTTTCTTGGAAGCGCTGTGTTCTTCCCTGCTCTCAAAGAACAGAGCAAAAAAGGCACAGCGAGAATCAGCTTGTGTTCATAGGTGGGTTATTTGTTGGATGTGCTGACCTTGCCTCTGCCCCTTCAGGAGGAGCATGAAATAAATCCTTTGCGGGGGGGAAATGCACTGGAGCTGCCCACTCAGGATATTTACTTGGCCGTTCCGTGGTGCCACAATTGTCAGTGAGGGGACAGCGTTGGATGCTGGAGACCAGGGATACTGCCTCTTAAAAACTGATGTTCAGGCAGGGCGATCTTGTGCACTCACACGATCAGTTGCCAGGATTGTGCATAAATGTGCTTGTTTTCTGACATTGCAAACTCAGTCTTGTAAATGTTGGGGAAATAGTTGGTATCTGAGTTTTCTGTATCTGCCAATATTTAATTCAGGGAGCAAATAAAAACTATCCTGGTGTTACCGGCTTGTTTGCTTTGTTTTAATTGTATGTCTCTAGTTGTGGCACATGGAGCAGGGCTTAATGGGGAAGCTAAATCGCTACTTTTTCCTCAAGAGATTTTAAGCACATGATAGGCAGGTAGGAAATCAGCACACCACTGAATTGCTGTAAATGTTCAGTGACAACTCATGACCTCGCTGTTTACAAGTAGAGAACGGTTTGTTAAAACTTCTGAACTTAGAATCCTGAAACAGGTGAGGTTTGGTTTTTGTACAGGATTATGTTGCAAAGTTGAACCTTAAATCCCATGGAACCTGTTATCCTTTGCCACGATGAGAATTTGTGGGAATGTTGGCTGTTAGGTACTGCATCGTGCCCTCCTGATGTTGGGGAGTAAGAACTGGCAGAGAGGGGGAAGGACAGCTACGGAGCTCTTGGTAAAACCATTTACAAACCAGCTGCAAGGCGTGGTAATTTTAAAATCTCCTTGAACATCTTAAGTATTTTTTTTCCTTTTAGAATGTAAAGATGGCTTAAAAAATAGGTTTAACATGTAGTTCTGTAAATGGCTCGGTTTTGCCAGAGGCTCTTGATTCTTTGTGCCGAGTAATAATTCCACTTTTGTTTTCTCCACGTTCCTTCCTCCTTTGCTCCATAGTAGCCAACTTCTTCACGGTGTGAGCTGCTTTGTCACCCAGGGGTTAAGATCCAAGGGGAGAACATTGCTCTATGGCCAAATATCCTTACCCTTCAGGCCTTGGTGGCGTGTGCGGTGGGGTGGTTTTACAGGTGCCAGGAATAGGGTAGCAAAAAGGAGACAAAATAGGACACTTGATACTCTCCAAGGTGGAGTTCTGGCATGGTGCAGCATCCTTATGGGCAGGTAAGCCTATACTTTTTAAAGGAGCATTAATTGCATTGCTTAAGTATAGGGTGGGCTTGATGCTGTCTATTGCTTTCAGTCGAGATTTCTATTCGGTTGGAAGACCAGAAATGCCTTTGAGAGCAACCTTGTTTGCGCAATCGTTGCTATCCATCTTTTTGAGCAATGTAAGCAGTATTTTTATTTTTTTCTAAGGCTGTAGTAGTAGTCAGTTTGTCTGACTCCCCATCTGACATGGATGGATGGATGAATGTCACCTGGTGTTCCTGTATCAAACTCACGACTTAACAATAGTGCGCCTTTTAGAAAAAGAACAGTTTTGTGTTGCTTAAAGGTGTAAGTGTTGGAACTCAAATACATCCACCTCTGCTTTGGGCTGTTCCGAGATGCACTAAAATGCCCGCAGCCTGTTAACTCCATAAAGAGAAGCAATGCTATCAATGTGGCAAGTTTTAAATGTAGACATAAGCCAACAAGCTGTTCAGAAACTCTTCCTTGTGGACCGAGAGTGCTCAGCACAATCCCCTACTGCTAATTTCTTTGGCTCTGTGTTCTTAACCTCCATTCATTAAGAGTGAGTCATACTTCACAAGACCTCTGCGAGCAGTTAAATCAATCTATCCATTGAGTCTATTCAATCACTTGGCCTGTTTTAAAAGAAAAGGCAGCTGTAACAATGAGATTTCATCTCCGACCACCCTGGGGGTGTGTGGCACCCCTCCTCTGGGCTGCATTCTCAGCACATCAGAAAATTGCCCTTTTAGTAACAAAGGTGTCTAACGCCTACGACACAGGCTCCAAGGTGCATCCACAACTGTGCTGGGAGGTGGGCAAGAGAGTGGCCCTGTCAGGGGAAGACTGTAATTCTCTCACGTGGACCCAGCTTTTGGGGCAGGGAGGTCTGCAAAAAGACTTTAAGATTAGCTCTGTCAGGGTTGACACAATAAGAAGCAGCTTAAACTAAACTTTTCCATTCCTGACCTGGATTCTTCTTTCCAGGTACGCCGGCTTTTACCACAGAGCTCCGAGCACAAGGAAGTGCCAGTCTTCCAAGAGCTGACGTGGAAACATGGGAGAGCCTCACACCTCTTACGGCTTCTGTTTACCTGAGGTCTTCCCTTGATTTATTTTTTGAATTTAATGTCAGATTCTTCACTCAGTCTAGCAGTGCTGCCCAGATAATTGCTAGCAACGCCTACGGGACTCTTTCATGCATGAAGAGGCTATTTAGCTCATGCCTGCCTGCCAGCCTGAGGAGCTTGGCTCTGTTCCCTATAAGATCTCTCTGACTCCTCTTCCTACGGCAAGTGAGTCTGGCGCTGAGGGCTGGTAACCTAGTCGCACTCCCCGTGCGTGTCCACGGTGTGGTTCTTCCTCTGTGTTTGTTCCTTCTAATCCAGGAGGGTGCAAGGCGGTTCTCGCCCTTCCTGGTGGTGGGTGTTCCCCAAGCTCCGTTTGCTCTCGGCCACAGCTCCAGGAAACTGCTGATGGAGACGGTTCCTCGGCGCCCCTTGGGTGCTGGCGAGGCGTCCAGAGGGGAAGGCAGCCAACCCAAGGCTGCTGCGGCACAGAGGCAAGTCCTAGGGGCTGGGGTCACGGTGCTGATGATGGTAGGTAAGAGAGCGATAGGGTCTGGGGAGAGAGAGAGGATGGGGAAGAAACCACAGAGCCAAGGGGCTGTTGGAGCTGATATGTGGACAGTTGAAGAGGCCACGGGATGTGGAAAGGAGGATGCTCATGAAAGGCAGAGGAGTAGGTCTGCTTGGTGAGGAAATGAGGCTGGGGAACTTGAAGGGACACTGCAGTGTCCAGTGTCTATCAGGGATGGGTGTTGGATGGTGACAAGGGGTTTGGAGGGAAGCCACAGCTGGAGAGGAACTGGGGCGGGATATGCAGAGTCCCTGTGCGGGGTGGCCATCAGAGATGGAGTATGGGGAGTTCAAAGGGGTCTGGAGATGGGAGGACAGGGTAGAGCAGGATATGCCTCGCGTTCTGTAAGCTGTACGCAAGGCCCACGTAGTTGTATGAGGAGTGTGGGGAAGGCTGGGAGGTGTGGGAAAAAGGACTAGGGCTGCCAAGATGGCAGGGGAGGCCTGGGGTGTGTACCTGAGAAGCAGTGGATGTTGTGGGACAGGGAGTAGACATGGGACAGGAACGACCATGTGTGTGAAGCAGCATCAGTGGGGGTAAGAGGGGACGAAAGCTGAACGGGGACGGGGAGCCTGGGAGGGGTATGTGGGCGCATGCCAGCTAGCACTGGGCATGTGGGTGCACGGGGAGTACTGGGCTGTATATAAGGGGACGTGGATGTAAAGTAAAAATCCAAACCCACCCACAGGCGGTGGGGCTGTGCGGGGCCGGGGAGGTGAGGCGGGGTGCAGGCCCGGGGGGATGCACCCAGAGGGGTGCAGCAGGAGCCGCGGTGGATGTGCGGCCCTGGGGAGGGGGTGG